CTTGCCGCTCCTTGAGCTCGGGCACCTCACGGCCACTCTCAAGGCCACGTCGTCGGGCAAGGCCCCTGGCGTCGGCGCGCTGTTGCCGACTGGTATTCTACGTCTGCCTGGTGATGGTCGGCGCGCCTTGGTTAACTTACTTAGTGACATCGAGTTGCAAGGTGCGTGGCCCGAGGAGATCTCTACAGCGCCTGGCGCCTCCATCCCCGCGGAGGCTGGCGGCAACCGTGCGCTCGGCCCCATGCCCCGCACAGCCAAGCCGTGGAGCAGGATGCGTGCTGCGCCGTCTTTCTCGTGGACGGAGGAGCAAGGGGCCTTTTGGGATACAGCGATTGCGGGGTCCTCGGCCATCTGACATCTTGGATGAATGTGCTCGGGAGCTCGGCGTAGCATGCGCCGCTCTCTTCCTGGACTTGCAGAAGTTCTATGGCTCGATCAGTTTTGTGCTGCCGATGAAGGCGAGCCGCTCGCCTCGTTTTCCCGCATTCATCACGGTGCTGGAGATTGGCATGTACGCGGCGCCTCGCCTCATCATGCGCGGTGCGATGGTGAGCTTGGCCCTCGAGCCAGGCAAGTCGATTGTGGCTGGATCCCCCAGGGGCGTCGACACGGCGAAAGTGATGCTCCACGGGCTTTTGCAGCAGGCCCATGGCATGTGCCCCCGAGCGGGGCTGCGGACTTTCATTGACGACACAGTCTGCAGGACGGAAGGAGCTCGTGCGACCGTCATCGGCGACGTGCGCATAGCCGCCAAGTCCCTGGCGTCCTCTTTCGAGCTGAATCGCCTGACGATCTCTGATAAGACCAAGCTGGTTGCCAGCGACGACGCCTTGGGGAAGGAGCTGGAGTCGGACCTCCAGTAGATGGGCATCCCTGTTTCCTTCACCATGTCGGCGGTCGACCTGGGCGTGGACGCTGCTGCTGGCCGCCGTCGTGCGCGACCCAAGCTCAGAGCTCGGATGGTTCGTGCCTCGGCTCGTCATGGCAAGATCCAGAAGATTCGACGGCTTGCTGGCAGCCACAAGGTGGCCAAAGGCTTGCGGCGTTCGGGGGGTCTCCCATCGGCGACCTATGGGCACCAGGTGCTTGGCGTGCCGCCGACCACGGTCACGCAACAGCGCAGACAGGCGTCGGTGGCCATTGCGGGGCACAAGCGTGGACGTTGCTTGCAGACGGTGCTCCAGGCGACGCTCGGCTCGGCCGATCCGTCGCTTCAGCCACGTCGGGATGTTCTTACATAATGGTTCAGGATGTGGCTCGCGCATCCCTACTTACATGCTCGGATTGCTCGAGTTTGGCCTCGTGTGCGCGCTGGAGAAGTAGGAGGAGGAGGAGGAGGAGGAGAAGGAGGAGAAGGAGGAGGAGGAGGACAAGCAGGAGGAGGAGGAGGACGAGGAGGAGGAGGAGGAGGAGGACGAGGAGGAGGAGGAGGAGACTGGGCGACCGCGTCAGATGGCGAGGTGTCCGTGGGCCCATCGCCGCACTGCAGGCCGCCCTGTTGCAGGCAGGCGGGGCGCCCCCGGGGGGCCACCCGTTGGCGTCGCGCCGGTGGCGCCGAGGGGCCCACGGACTACTCCAGATCTCGTAATAAAAGGGAGGGGGGTCTCGTTTCGGGGGGGGGGGGTCTCTTCCAGGCTATCTTGGAGGGCCTGGGGGGGTCTGGGGACGATGTCTTGGAGGGTTTTCCCACGGGGGGGGGTCTGAAATGGCTTGTCTTGGAGGGTCCAGACCCCCTCCCTTTTATTACGAAATCTGGAGTACACCTTTTTCTCTTTCGGCGAGGACGGTTGCAGTGACGCCGTCGTGCAGGATTTCAGCGAGCGTCTTGTGGGTTCCGAGTCTGACTGCCGCGCTGTGTCCTGGGCCACGGCTTCACGGCGCCCTCGGGGTGACCCACTCGCCCACGGGGCGGATTTGCATGTCGTGCAGCGTGAATTGGATGCTTTCGCCAAGGAAGGCGCCATGGACCTGTGGGTCTGCGAACATTGCAGTCATTCCAGGCGGTCAGTGGACGCAGCAGAGGCAGATGGATTCTGGATATGTGGCCGACCTCACCTGTGCCCGCTGCCGCTTTGCGCCAGAGACGCCGCGCCACCGCATTTGGGAGTGCACAGAAAATTGTTCGCATCCAGACTACACCCTGCGAAATGCTTAAGAAATCATGGGTTAAGAAATTCATAGTCTCAGAACTTGAATAAAAACCCCAAATTTCCATTCAAATCTTAGGATTTACACTGAAACGTTAAGAATAATCGAGACTCTGGCCGAAAACTTAGGTTTTCTTGAGCATCGCCTAAGGTGTACTCGTCCACTGATGCCTTGGTCCCTCAGGCGCTGGCCAATGCTGATGATGATCCGCCCCTTTGGTTGAGAGGCCTGCCCTCCAGCGAGTCTCACGGTTCCTGAATTTGTAGAAGGGCCTGGCTTGGGAGACCCTGTTTTCCTGGGGCAGTGCTCGCTAAAGGAGCTCTCGGCCCCTGATGCACACCCCCCCCCTGTATCTGTTTGGGGATGGGTCGGGGGGAGAGCACAATTCTGACGAGCGTCGGCTACGCTGCGGAGCAGCTGTGGTGGTCATGCGTCGTGCCTTGGACGGGGACCCTTCGGGGGCCTTGTGGATCCCCGTCTGCGGTGTGGCAGCCTGTCTCCCAGGCCGCTGTCAGACTGTGCCCCGATCTGAGCTCCTGGCGCTGGCCGAGGGTCTTAAGTGTTCGGTCGGCAATATCGTTTACGTTTGCGATTGTAAGCCTGTGATTAATGGATGGCGGGCTGGCCGCGCTCAACGCCCCAGTGGCTGCAACGCAGACCTCTGGGTGCGAGTGCGGCAGGCTGCGCAGAAACGGGGCCCTGGCACCGTGGATGTCGTCTGGGCTGCCTCGCATTTGGAGGCCGAGCCTGACCGTATCACCACCCCCTTTCCAGGCCTTCCTCTCACACGGCAATGCGTGTGCTGACGACTGGGCGGGGTTGGCTGCGAGGAGGGGGTGGGGTACCTCTATTCGCCACCCGATTCCGATTACCGATCATTATGATGTCATTGCCCTCTTGGTTCGTCGCCGAGCCAGGAGAGCGCTCATTGACACGTTGCAGGCTGCCCCTGAGTTTGGCTGTCGACTTTCCCAGCCTAGGACTAAGCGTGCTTCTCGTCTGGACTTGTTGATTGCCTCCTCGTCGCACTCCCTCTCCCGTTGCAGCATTCGTTGGATGTGCTCCTCGTGCCAGCAGATTGTGCCCTGAGCGAGGCCGTTTGCCTTCGCCACGTCCGTCTGCCCTGCCTCGGCCCCTGTGCCTGCTCCCTCCGTCCCCGCCTCCGTTGTGCGGTTCACTGGTGATGGAATCTCTCCCGTGCTGAGGGCGTGCGGGGTTGGAGGCGTCAGGCTCCACGAGAGCCACTCGTTGCACAAATGGGCCCGCTATGGATTGAAATGTTGTGCGGTGTGCGGGTTCACGGCCACAGTCGACGGCCGTCAGTTGTCCCGACAGTGCGACCCGCCTACCAGGAAGGGGCGAGAGAACTTGTCCCGCCTCCGTCGGGGGGTGTTTCCCTCTTACCGCGGACCGCCGAAGGCGGTCGCAGCGGCGGAGGTATCAGTTCTTGCCTCTCGTGCCCCTCCTGCCACTGTTGGAACACCAGCTCGGGTTACTTTGGGCGAGTATCTCGGATTCTCTGTGCTCCCTCAGCCTGAGTTCGATGATTCTTCCGCCCCTGGTTGTGACAGTGAATTCAAGTGTCATCCTGATTTTGATGTTGCTCGTGCCCCACCTGCGGGTGTTGGGTGCACGAGGGAAGGAGTGTGCGCGCTGGAGGGTGGTGCCCCGTCTTCGTCGTCGCCGTCGTCGTGGGGTGCGCTGTCGGGAGAGCGGGCGGCCCCTCGCGCCGCCCCGAGCCCGTTCCGCGACGGCAGCGAGGTCGACACCCAAGATGGCCCTGGGACGGGCCCCCTCCCACCCGCCTCCCCCTCCTCTGATTCATTGCACGCGTGCTCATCCGGCCCATTCCGCCCATCCCATTCCTTCCTCCCTCCTCCCTCCTCCCTCCTCCCTCCCCCCTCCCCACTCCTCCCTCCCTCCTCCCTCCTCCCTCCTCCATCTTTCCTCCTCGTTCCTCCTTTCTCCCTCCTCCCTCCTCCCTCCTCCCTCTTCCCTCCTCACTCCTCCCTCCTCCCTCCTCCCTTCTCCCTCCGCCATCCTCTTTCCTCCCTTCTCCCTCCTCATTCCTCATTCCTCCCTCCTCCCTCCTCCTCCCTCTTCCCTTCTCCTCCTCCTCCTCCTCCTCCTCATCATCCTCCTTCCTCCTCCTTCCTCTTCCCTCCTCCTCCCTCCTTCTCCGTCCTGCCTCCTCCTCTTCCTTCTCCAAATCCACCTCCTCCTCCTCCTCCTCCTCCTCCTCCTCCTCCTCCTCCTCCCCTTCCTCCTCCTCCTCCTCTCCTTCTCCTCCTCCTCCTTCTCGTTCTTCCTCCTCTCCGTTACTCCCCCTCCTCCTCCTCCTCCTCCTCGGCCTCCTCCTCCTCCTCCTCTTCCTCCTCCTCCTCCACCTCCGTTTCTTCCTCCTCCTCCTCCTCCTCCTCCTCCTCCTCCGCCTCCTCCTCTTCCTCCTCCTCCGCGCACGTTCGTTTTAACCAGCCGCAAGAGTTCTACGGATTCCCATGCTCAACGTACCAGAAGTTTGGTCTCGCACGGATTCAGGCTTACAAGGGTGCAGAAGTTATGTTGGAACGCGGTGTTCAATCCCAAAAACGGCGTTCTGGCAATATGCGGGATCGTCAAGACGCAACAGTCAGGATGATCCGTGGGTTCGAATCCCGAGAACAATGTTTTGCCTTGCTTCAGGGTCTTCAAACAATTTTCTTCCAACGTCCCCTCAGTAAAAACGAACGTTGTAGGGGCCTATGAAGAGGGAGCTTGGAGGGAGGGTTTATACCAACATCGTTGATACTTCTTGGGGTTACACTGGTCCTCCTCCTCCTCCTCGTCAACCTCCTCCTCCTGCTCTTCCTATCTTTCCTCCTCGTGACTTCGTCATTGCTCGCTCACTGCCTCCAACGCTCCTGATCCATACTTGCTTCGTCGCGAAAGGGCCGCGACGCGTACACCTGTCCTTGCAAAGCTGGGCTCGTCAGACGATCAAATGGAGGGAGACCGGGCGAAAGAACCCTTGGGCCTGGGGCACCGTTCGTGGGCCCAACAGACCAAGGCGACAAGCCGACGACACGCAGGAGAGACGAGAGAGCAAGAAGAGCGGACGGGAGGGCAGCACGGCAAACTCAAAAAAACAAGAACCCTTCTTCAGAGGGGCGACCACGAGTCGGTCATTCAGAAACGCGCCGCCGGGGGCCCTTTAGGCCCACCTAGATGGCCTACGCCTGATGCGCGCTCCATCGCACGGGTCCCAGTATTGACCAAGACCAAGGCCTCCCTCCCCCCTCTCCCTCTTCCAATCCCCTCAACGCTGCCCTACTTCTCCAGCACATGATGCTCTTTCTGTCCCTTTCCTTATCCTCCTTCCTTTTCCTTCTGCTCCTCCCCCCTCCTCCCTTCCTCCTCCTCCTGCTCCTTCCCCCCTTCCTCCTCCTCCTCCTCCTCCTCCGCCTCCTCCTCCGTTCCTCTTCCTTGAAGTTCACTCCTCCTGTCGAACGCCGAGGCTGGTCGAGAGGGCGGGCCGGGTGTTTCGCCTGAGACGTCCTCACCATTTCTGACCATGAAGCTTAAACATTGGCAACAGTTTAACAGATGGAGGGCGGGACGCTTCCAAAATGTGGCTCTCGCCTTAGCGCCGCGCCCATTCGTTTTGTTTAATGTTGTATGAGCTGCATGGGTTGAGGGTGGGTGATTATCCGAATGTGGCTCTCGCCTTAGCACCGCGCCCATTCGTTCTAGAAAATGCACGGGCTTCACATATTGAGGCGGGTCGCTTTCAACATGTGGCTCTCGCCTTAGCGCCGCCCACGCTCGTGCTCGACAACTGCAACAGTTGCACTGATGGCGGGCGGCTCCTTTTCAAGACGTGACTCTCGTCATAGCGCTGCGCACATTCGTTCAAGAAAGATTACAAGAGCTTCACGGATTGACAGTGGCTCCTTCTCAGAATGTGGCTCTCGCCTTAGCGTCGACACTCGTTTTGAACATTTGCAAGAGAGTCACACATTCCCACGGTCAACGTTCCAGAAACGGAGCTCTGGAAAGACTTGTGATTGTGAGGGCGCAAAAACAGTTGCGTTGATTCGCAGTGTTGGAGTCGCACGATTCTGGGTAGTCAAGACGCAACAGTCATGATGATTCGTGGCGTTGGAGTCCCAAGAATGGCACTTTGGCACGATTCAGGATGTTCAAACGGTTGTCTCCCAACGAGCAATTCCCTCAGTGGGAGTGAACCCTTGTAGGGGCAAATGAAAAAGGGAGTATCGTCACCAGCATCAGCATAGGCATCAGCATCAGCATCATCACCATCATCACCACCATCACCATCACCATCACCATCATCATCAGCAGCATCATCATGCTCATGATCATGATCATGATCATCATCATCACCATCATCATCATCATCATCATCTTCATCATCCGTCCTTGTCCCTTCCCCTCTTTCTCCTCCCTCCTCCCAACACTCCTCCCTCCCGCTCCCCCATCCCTCCTCCACCAAAATGTGCCCGCCTTCTGTGAAGGGGCCCTGGGACACACAAATTAGTAGACGCAAACGAGCGGATTCCTCATAGTTTCCGATGTTTCTGGGTGCGTGTCCTCCCCCCCACTTCCCATACTGTCCCCCATATTCCTGGGGAGCCGACGATAAGTTGTGTCTGTGTATCTTTTCTTGCCCTCCCGATTCTGCGAAAGAGAGGCGCTTGCTCTGGCCGTTCCCAGGCCCCGGGAAGGTGCGCGCTCGGCCGGCACGCGCTGGCCGCTTGCGCAGGCCGCACGCCTCTCACTCCACGGCCTCGTCGGCCTGCTGGTTGGAGAGGCCCGCCTGGGCGGCATCACGGGCGACGGTGGGACGCACAAAGACATACAAATACTACATGTCCTCCTTGGAGGCGCGCGCGTCCCACCACCCGATCGCACAGTACACCCATCTTTGTGGTATATCGTTTCCCGAGCGGTGTGGCCAGAGCGCGCCCGCCACGACGCGCATACTGCAAGATGCCTCGGTGCGCGCGTCGCCCCTGCGGGGGCGACAATCGTATAGCAAAGGTATGTTGGGGTGACGCCGCTGCTGGTTGGAGAAGCCCGCCTGGGCGGCATCACGAGCGACGAGAGCATCCGCACACGTGCCCTCGCGGCCTGGACACCGCAGCGAGATCCGTGGATGCGCGATCCCGCGGACGCGCGTCGCGCCGGGCGCCCGCGCAAGAGTGCCCCGTGTCGACGTCGACGGGGTCGCGGCCTGGAAGCGGACCGCGAGGCCGCGGATATGGATACGCTACCCGCCCACGGCCCACGACGGCACATCCTCCAGGACGGGGCACAAGCCTACAGAAAATCGGCGGTCAGGGTAGCCAGCAGCAGCGGTGTCGCTGCCACAAGCCTCTCGTCGGACCGCTCGCACCTCAGAGCCGATCCCAAGATTCACAAGTCCAACCAGCTGTACTCTACAGTCACCGTGCCACCGTAAGTAACGCTTCATCAGGAGCGAAGGGGCTTTCTTAGCCACGGCGAGCCTCGGCAACGAGCAGGTCCACCGACCTAGACTTGAGGAACAGCCCGAAAAAAGGAGCCCTCTCCTGCGCAGAAAGTGGTCCTTATCATCTTCTTGACTGTGAGGCCGCGGCCTTGCCCATCGCGCTCGAGAGGCCCTGGGCGACCTCCGCAAGCTGCTGGCCCACCGCGTGCGCGTCCAGATTGCCGTACCCGCGCTCCTTCCTGTGCTGAGCGATGCGTTCCTCCACTTTCTTGCTCCACTCGTCTGGATCCTCTCCTGCGCGGCTTGACATGATGCTCGCAATCTGGCTCGACATGTTCTGCAGCTTGTCCCGCATGGCGGCAAAATGTTCCCTCATCGCCTCCTTGTCCATTTTCGGGTTCACGTCACCGTCATCCTCGGAGACCCCTGGCTTCGCAACGCTCGTGATACTGCACGCAGTCTGGGGATATAGAAATCCACCTTCCGGCTCCTGCTGCACAACGTCCTCATCCTTGCCGCTGCTGCGGCCGCTGCGGAGGCGACGGCGCTCTACGATGGCACTCTGCTCGGCAGGAGACTCCCATGATGACGCTGCCGGAATCGCTTCCCAAGAGAAAGGGGCACAATCGTGGAAGAGGAAAAATCTGCATGAACATAAACCTTCGGAGCTCCACGCGGAGCTCCGACAGCTTATGCTTATGCCGCTGTTTCTTCTTCGAGCTACACCACTGTACCCTCCAAGCCTTTCCCGAGCTCCCCAACCCTCTCGTTGAACTCGCGCCCGTCGAACACGTAGGTCGGATAGATGGGGGACTTGGTGCCCTCGTGGGGCCTATTGAGAGGCAGTGTCAGGGGGTGGGCCACCGGCTCAGGGGGGGGAAGACGGGGGGGGAAGCATCAAGCATGAAACGGCGATACATCGCCGATGTATAGGTGATGATGAGCCTGTTTTCCACCACCACCACAAGTTGGACGGGGGAAGGAGGAGGAAGGCGAGGAGGAGGAGGAGGACGACGAGGAGGACCCCCCCCTCAAACTTATGGTGGTGGTGGTGGTGGAAAACACGCCCATCCGGCGGTAGGCCCCCGATTGCGAATCCGCATGTTCCTGGACGGGGTGGGCTGCCAGGCCTCCATCGGCGGCGACTGGGCGATTTGGGGGTCGAGGCATTCCCCCCGGAGCCCGCCGCCCCCCGCAGCTGCCCCTGACCTGTAGAAGACGGTGCCGTTGGACTCCGACAGGGTCACGTCCACCCTGCTCAGCTTCACGCGCCCGCCGCGCCGCCCGCCCAGAAGCTGACCTGCAGAGGAACAAGCAGACTTGCACAGGCACAAACCTGACAAGCCTACCAGACCACCCCAGCCTGACCCGAAGGCCCCGATGTCAGGCTGGCAGGAGCTACGGGTTCCATATGTGCGTTCTTCAATGTTCCCCGACGCCCCCCCCCCGTTGGGGTGGTTCGGTGGGTGGAAAAAACTGTTGGAGGTCCGCTCGGGTGTCTTGCATCAGCGCTGGGTCCCCCTGGCGGCGCGTCCAGCGCAGCCCCTGGCGGGCTCCGCGCGCCAGGGAGGGGGCTCCCGCGCCGATCGAAGACACCCGCGCGCACCTGCAAAAGAATATGTTCATGCAGCTTGTTCTTCTTTGAGGGCCGCTGTCTTGCGTAGCCTGCTCGTCCCTGTCCAAATTCTCTTGGATCCACTTCGCGATCGAGCCGCTGCCGTGTCCGTACCCCTCGGGCCAGTCGACGAAGTCCTTTGTGGCAGCCTTAGGGGGCTCGCCCCAGTGTGCAGGGAAGGGCTTCGTGGCACCAGGGAACAGCCCCGTGGGGATCGCGCCGGCACCTGCCAAGTCGGCCTTCTGGTCGTTGGCCAGATTGCCCTCTATCCACTTTGCGATCGTTCCGCTTCCGTTGCCGTAGCCGCCAGGCCACTCGACAATGTCCTCCGTCACAGCCTTGGGAGGCTGACCCCAGTGTGCCGGGAAGGGCTTCGATGCCCCGGGAAACAGACGCGAGCCCATCTGAGCGGCATCTGAAGTGGGATCTGCAGAGTCGGCCTTCTGGTCTTTTGCCAGGTTGCCCTCTATCCACTTCGCGATCGTGCCGCTTCCGTGGCCGAAACCTGCGGGCCATTTCCGGTAGTCCCTGGTTGTCACGTTGGGCGGCTCGCCCCAGTGCGCGGGGAAGGGCTTTGTGGCCCCAGGGTACAGCGCTTTGGCACCCGCGAGGCCCAGCAGGCCCCCCGTGCTCACCCTGCTGCCGTCAGGGTTGGGCCTGCGGTCCGCGAGGGCAGCGGAGCCTGCAAGCAGCGCCACCGCAAGCAGCGCCGCCGCCGAGGTGCCCCTGCGCCCCACGGCGGGCCCGGCGGTGCCGGGAGAGACGTCGTCGGAGGCGTCGCTGTCGGACGCGATGGGCGCGCACGGGGCGCGCAGGCGCTGGAGCTCCATCTCGAGCCGCACGCGATGCTCGCGCGCGGGTGCCGGGTGCATCAGCCAAGGAAAGCTCGGGCCAGCAAGTACGCGCTGCGATACGGTGGAGGTTTCAGATAAGGATGCCTTCGATCAGGAACCGAGGGTCTCGCGACCGATCTGCGGCCAAACGTGGGCCACCCGCCTCGCCTGGAAACAAGAAGGAATGCGCCAAGGTCTGGGCCCCAGAAAGACAATCCTCATCCAATGCCGCCACCGTAATCTTAGGTGAGACCGCTGGACACGGAGTCTAGCGCCCCGCGGTGGATGATTGGCGAATTGTAGGCAGCTCCCTGGACACGTGCGTCGCCTGGGCAACATGGCAAGCGCCAGAGCCCAGCCACCAAAATGGACATCGTCTACCGCACGCCCTCGCCATGCGGGGGATCTTCTGACCCGGGTCAATCAAACCCGGGTCAGCAGGAAACCAAAAAACTGCAACACAGGGAACAAAAACTGCAACGCAGGTCTTCGCAAACCCAGGTCAGCCAATATGCGCGGCCGCCTCGCGGCCATGAGCGGCTCGCTAACCCTGGTCAGCCAGAGGGGGTCTTCGCATGATCCTGCAAGATCTGGTGCCCTGGCTGACCCCCGTTTGCAATAACCCCCGTCTCTTGAGCCCCGACCATGAACAGCAGCAGCGATACCGCTGTTGGCGTAAGAAACGCCCATCCACAGACGTTGCGTCGACGATGCCGCCCCCAGACCCCCCATTTCAATGCTGCGTTCGCGGCCGTTGTCGGGGTGCAAACATGGGCATAAAAAATCGCCCAAAGCTCCACCGCCAAGGCGACCCCGTTTTCAACACAGCACATAGCAGCGTTGTTCGTTATGCCTGGTGGGCGTATTGTTCGCCAACGGCGGTATGACTGCCTGTGGAGCGTGGCGGTGCACGGTTGCGTCAGGGCTCTTTCCCGCAGCTCGCGGGCAGAGGCCGCCGGAGCTGCAAAGGTCAGACAACGCTGGCAGAAATGGTTGCAGTGGGGGACATTGGATAAGGAACCCTTAGACTTGGAATCCAGGGTCTGGAGGCCAGTGGAACTTCGATTGAGGCTTGGCCATGGATATCGCCGCCGCCCTCATCAGAATCCTCCAGGGTCTGCAACCTCCTGGGCACATTCCTTAACTTACGCCCACACCGTAAACCAGAACGCACGCTGATACAGGAATGGCTCGCGGGCCGCAGCTCAGAGTTCCAGTTTGCTCCACATCTGCTCCTGGGTGTGTGCCAGGCGCCCAGTAAACACCTGAAGTCTCCGAAGCACGACTTCGACATACCGCTGTTGCCACTGCTGCTGCTGCTGCTGCTGCTGACATTGCTCTACAGCCAGTGGTCCGCCAGCGCACTGCTAGGCACTCAGTGGACTGTCATCATGTCGCTTCGAGTTCCCTTTGGCGAGCACTGTACAAAAGGCCTGCAGACCGCAAGTGCCAGATGTCTGAAGGGCTTCTCGCAGGACTCCTGGGGTTTCTCGCTCTACTTTCCCATACGCCAGAGAGCGCCAAGACGGGCCCGGCCAAAAGGGCCCCAAGAGGGCCCTGAGAAGCCAAACTCGTTGATAAGGTGCTTGGAGGATTCTGGCGTACGTGCTCGCGTGTTGACCTTCAGGGCCCCCGAGAGGCCCAAGAGGCTTCCAATACCGCCCCAGGACGGCCGAAGCAGCCCCCCAAAGAGCCCCCAGACGGCCCAAGAGGCCTCCGAGGCGGCCCCAAGAGAGGGGCCCAAGAGGGGGAATTCAAATTGACCCTGGAAGCCTTCACCTCCAGGAGCCCCCCAAAGCCCCCAACAGGTCCAGAGAGGCCTCGAACTGTCCTCGCGGACCCCCCCCCCCGGAGGAGCCGAACCCAACAGCCCCCTCAAGAGGCCTCCGAGAGGCCCCTGGGGGGTACTCCAAGAGACCCCAGCCAGAATCCAAGTGGCCTCTGGCCCACAACCCAGGCACGGTGGCGGGATAGGCCGAAGGCCACTAAATCCGCCGCCCCCTGCTTGCAGGGGTGCACGGCGTGCTGGACGTTTCAGGTTTTGGTTTTGGTTCTTTTTCTAAAAGAACTCCCCAGTGGGCTTCGGCCCGTCCCGCCGGCCACCCGTAATTTTCCCAAAATCCGTCTGTCAATGCCTTTGTTGCCCCAACTTGGCCCAAGATGGCCTCCAAGACGGCCAAGATGGCCCAAGATGGCCTCCAAGATGCCTCCCAGACGGCCAAGATGGCCTCCAAGACGGGTAAGATGGCTCCAAGATGCCTCCAAGACGGCCCAAGATGCCCTCCAAGACGGCCAAGATGGCCCCAAGATGCCTCCAAGATGGCCCAAGAGGCCTCCAAGACGTTCTCCAGGAGAGCCCGAAGAGGCCAAAATCATTGGTTTTCCTTAGGTTTTTGAAGGTTTTTTGCGTTTTCTTCTTTTCGGCCTTCCGACGGCCCAAGAGGCCCCCAAGATCGCCCAAGAGGCCTCCAAGAAGGCCCTATGACGGCCCAAGGGCCCCCCAAGACGGCCCCAAGAGCGCCCCAAGACGGCCCAAGAGGCCTCCAAGACGCCCAACATGGCCTCCAAGACGGCCCTGAAGCGCCCCAAGAGGGCCCCAAGACGGCCCAGAGAGGCCCCCAAGACGGCTCCAGACGGCGTCAGACGGACCAGGAACGCCCTAAGACGGCCAAAGAGACCCCCAGGAAGCCCCCAAAGGCCCCCAAGAGGCCCAAGGAGGCCCCCAAGATGCCTCCAAGAGGCCTCGAAGAGGCCCCCAAGAAGCCCCCAACAGACCCCAAGGGTGCCCCAAGAGACTCCTAACAACCCTCATCCTCCTACTCTATTTCTTCCTCTTCCTCTTCCTGTTCATAATCATTCTCTCCCATGTGTTCCCCGAAAGCTTTCCAAACCGACTCGGGGAACTCATGGTCCGATAGCTTGGCCAAGCTCTAGTCCAACTTTCGGCCACATCGGCGTTTCCAAAAAGGCAGGGGGCGGCGGTGATTCGCCGTAGGCGTCTTCGATCCGCCGCCCCCTGCTTGCAGGGGTGCACGGCGTGCTGGATGATTCAGTTTTGGTTTTGGTTCTTTTTACCTAACAGCGAAGACTGATAGGTTTCTAGTAGTCTTAAAAGAGAGCAGCAGATGACTCCACAGGGGGGTCTGGGCGGGTGCCGGACAGGGTGCCGCAGAAGTCGTTTTAAGCAAACAGTCACACACTTCGTGCTTTTCGACCTCCAGAACTCCATTCCCGGGCCACATTCTGAATGCCCGGAGCCAACTGTAGGCCACTTCGTGCTCTTCGACTTCCCAGAACTCCATTCCCGGGCCACATTTTGAATGCCCGGAGCCAACTGTAGGCCACTTCGTGGTCTTCGAGTCCCCAGAACTCCATTCCCGGGCCACATTTTGAATGCCCGGAGCCAACTGTAGGCCACTTCGTGCTCTTCGAGTTCCCAGAACTCCATTCCCGGGCCACATTTTGAATGCCCGGAGCCAACTGTAGGCCACTTCGTGCTCTTCGAGTTCCCAGAACTCCATTCCCGGGCCACATTTTGAATGCCCGAGCCAACTGTAGGCAACTTCGTGCTCTTCGACTTCCCAGAACTCCCTTTCCTGGGCCACATTTTGAATGCTGAGGCAGGCTGATGCTGCGGTCGAGGCAGGCTGGGGCTGAGGCAGGCTGAGGCTGAGGCCGAGGCTGAAGGCAGACTGAGGCTGAGGCTGAAGCAGACTGAGGCCGAGGCTGAGGCAGGCTGAGGCTGAGGCTGAGGCAGGCTGGCTGAGGCAGGCTGAGGCTGAGGCTGAGGCTGAGGCAGGCTGAGGCTGAGGCCGAGGCTGAAGGGCTGAGGCTGAGGCTGAGGCTGAGGCTGAGGCTGCAGGCTGAGGCTGAGGCTGAGGCAGGCTGAGGCTGCAGGCTGAGGCTGAGGCTGAGGCAGGCTGAGGCTGAGGCTGTGACTGCGACTGCCGTTGCCGCTGCGACTGTCATCGCGAATGCGACTACGACTGCGAGAACAGCAGAATTCTACAACTGGATTTTCATCTGAATCTTAAGGGGAATGCTTTCAGATATGCTTCTACACATCGCTGTTAGGTTGCTTTGCCGGGATAATTCTAAAAGAACTCCCCAGTGGGCTTCGGCCCGTCCCGCCGGCCACCCGCGCATTTCCCAAAATGCGTCTGTCAATGCCCAAAAACGGCCGTTTCGCTCGGGACATCCTCAAAAAATCGCGAAGATGGCCCAAGATGGCCTCCAAGTCCGCCCGAGATGGTCCAAGACGGCCTCCAAAACGGCCCAAGAGAGTCCAAGACGGCCCAAGACGGCCCAAGAGGCCCCCCAGAGGCCTCCCAGACGGCCCAAGAGGCCTCCAAGAGGTCCTCCAGGAGAGTCCGAAGAGGCCAAAATCATTGATTTTCCATTGGTTTTTGAAGGATTTTGGCATTTGCGCCTTTTCGGCTCTCCGACGGCTCAAGACGGCCCAAGAAGCCCCCAAGATCGCCCAAGAGGCCCCCAAGAGAGCCCCATGATGGCCCAAGTGGCCTCCAAGATGGCCCCTAGAGGGCCCCAAGAGGGCCCAAGAGGCCTCCAACACGCCCAAGATGGCCTCCCAGACGCCCAAGATGGCCTCCAAGACGGCCCTGGAGCATTCCAAGCGGGCCCCAAGTCGGCCCATAGAGGCCCCCCAAACGGCTTCCGACGGCTTCAGACGTGCCAGGAACCCACCAAGATGGCCGAAGTTGGCTCGAAGCTGGCCCGAGACGGCCCAAAAAGCCCCAAAGATCGCCCAAAGCTTGCCCAAGAGGCCTCCAAGACGGCCAAGATGACCTTCAAGATGCCCACGTGTTCCCCGAAGGCTTTCCAAACCGATTCGGGGAACACGTGGTCCGATAGCTTGGCAGGTCTGGCCTCAACGTTCGGCCACATAGGCGCTTCCAAAAAAGCAGGGGGCGGCGGTGATTCGCCGTAGGCGTTTTCGATCCGCCGCCCCCTTTTGCTTTAGCAAAGGGGTGCACGGCGTGCTGGATGTTTCAGGTTTTGGTTTTGGTTCTTTTTCTAAAAGAACTCCCCAATGGGCTTCGGCCCGTCCCGCCGG